AGCCATTAGGCCTTAAGAAGTCCTTTAAAAAGTTCATATTCAAATCTAGACCTTTCAGAAAAAAAATATTAAAAAAAAAGTTCAGCCACTGGTCCCCAAAAAGTTTTTTTAATCCATATTTAGAGAATGGTCTAAAAAAATATATATATTTAGAAAATTCACGTTTAACAATAAGACCTCAAAAAGTCTTTAAAAAAATCCAAATTTAGATCTTGGTCTTTAAAAAATATATATTTAAAAAAATCTTTGGTTAGCAAAAGGTCCCCAAAAAAGTCCTTTAAAAAATCCACATTTAGATCGTGGTCTTTAAAAAAAATTGTGTAGAAAATCGACCTGCAGCCGGTGGTCTTCAAATAGCGTTTTCTACAAATCCACAACCTGTTCTTTCCAAAAAAAGAAAAAATTCACGTTAATATTTGGACCTCAAGACATTTTTTTAAATATCTGCTCCCTAGGAAACCATCACTGAAAATCCACATATCTTTAAAAAATCCACGTTTCTATATCCTTCAAAAATATTCTTTAAAAAATCCAAGTTTCTATATCCTTGAAAAATATTCTTTAAAATATCCACGTTTCTATATCCTTGAAGAAATATTCTCTAAAAAATCCACGTTTCTATATCCTTGAAGAAATATTCTCTAAAAAATCCACGTTTCTATATCCTTGAAAAATATTCTTTAAAAAATCCACGTTTCTATATCCTTGAAGAAATATTCTTTAAAAAATCCACGTTTCTATATCCTTGAAAAAATATTCTCTAAAAATCCACGTTTCTATATCCTTGAAAAAATTTCTTTAAAAAATCCACGTTTCTATATCCTTGAAAAATATTCTCTAAAAAATCCACGTTTCTATATCCTTGAAAAATATTCTTTAAAAAATCCACGTTTCTATATCCTTGAAAAATATTCTTTAAAAAAATCCACGTTTCTATATCCTTGAAAAATATTCTTTAAAAAATACACGCCTCTTATAGACCCTGAAAAAATATTCTTTAAAAAAATCCACGCCTCTTATAGACCTTGAAAAAATATTCTTTAAAAAATCCAACCCTTTTTGTGGTCCTTAAAAAAATATTCTTTAAAAAATCCACGCCTCTTATAGACCTTGAAAAAATATTCTTTAAAAAATCCAACCCTTTTTGTGGTCCTTAAAAAAATATTCTTTAAAAAATCCACGCCTTTTTGTGGTCCTTGAAAAAATATTCTTTAAAAAATACACGCCTCTTATAGACCCTAAAAAAATATTCTTTAAAAAATCCACGCCTTTTTGTGGTCCTTGAAAAAATATTCTTTAAAAAATACACGCCTCTTATATTCCTTGAAAAAATATTCTTTAAAAAATACACGCCTCTTATAGAACCTAAAAAAAATATTCTTTAAAAAAATCCACGCCTCTTATAGACCTTGAAAAAATATTCTTTAAAAAATCCACGCCTCTTATATTCCTTGAAAAAATATTCTTTAAAAAATCCACGCTTCTTATATTTCTTGAAAAAATATTCTTCAAAAATTCCACGTCTTTGTTGGTTCTTGAAAAAAATATTTATATATTTTTTTATTTCCCAAATTTTATTTTCAAAATCTTAAATATTGTTTTTCCACATCTCCCCCACGAATTAAGGTAATTCAATATGCAAACTAGAAGATATTTCACTAAACGAACGATTTTCTTGAACGGCAATTTAAGCTTGAATGAATGTAGCTTTGTTGTTGCGTGTTTTTTTTTTGTTCTCTTCCTTCGACATCCTTCTCCACCATGTTTATCTCAATTTAAATTTCTTTCCACATCATTTAAGCGACTTAAGGTATTGTCGTTTTGTTTTCTCGTTTGGGCCACGATTGAAAGAAAATAGAAGTTGGTGTGTTTTATTTTTCGTTGCGCCACGCTACGCTAGTTCTGCTGTCGTTTTTCTTCTTCTGCTCCTTCGTTTGGCAACTGTGAATGGCTTTTGTGTCTTGTCTTCTACTGTCTTTTCAAATTGCTTAACTTTTGTTTATGCTACGAATTCCCCAATACAACTTGGCTGCTGACTGCTTGCCTGCCTGCCACTTCTATCGGAGATTTTGGAATCTTTTCTTTTTTTCGCTCCGCCAAATGCATTTTGCAACATTGGAGTATCTATGGGTGGCATTGGAGAGAGTTTTTCTGTTGCTCTATTTCTTCGTCATCTAAAGTTTATATCAATTGACAGCCTTAGTGGCTTTGGTGATTTTGTGTGTGTGTGTGCGCACTTCTTGCCGGCAAAAAAAGGATCGTAAAAAGAATCAAGAAAATATCGACATTGGCGGCATTTTTTTCGTTAACAATCCAAAGAATGGCAACCAATTTTCAATTGCTGCTGTTGAAGATGCAATGTTCCGGCTGTAGATGTTGTTGTCGATGCTGCTGCCAGTTTATTTACCAATTCTTGTTGGTTTGGTCATTGTTGTTGTTGTTGCTGTTGACGATGTATTCTTTCATTTTAACATTCATTTTTTATGACGTTTCTCGGCTAGAGTTTTGTTGTCGGGCTAATGACACTTTAACGACTCTTGACTTTATGCTTTATGAAGTGTACCAAGAGGTAGAGGAGAGAGAGAGAGAGAGAGATGGAGAGGGAGGGAAAAAGAGATGCACACTCATCCAACCACGATACCAAAGCCAACAGACTGGCAACAAGGCGATAGGAACTGATAGTTACACCGCTGTTATTACAGCTTTACAGGATAAATGGCTTTAAGGTTGGATGGCAGGACTTAGTTGGCTAACGATTTAAAAACCAGAGGGATTTTAAATTTAAGGATAATTTAAAAGAATTGTAAATTTGTTAAAAAATAGTTTTAAGGATATTTTTTTCTTTATCCTTAAAAAAATATTTTTAAGGATATTTTTTTTCTTTGTCCTTGAAAAAATATCCTTTTTTCTTTGTCCTTGAAAAAATATTTTTATGGATATTTTTTACTTTGTCCTTGAAAAAATATTTTTTTCTTTGTTCTTGCAAAAATATTCTTTAGAAAATGTATGCCTCTTATAGTTCTTAAAAAATATACTTTAGAAAATTTATGCCCCTTATAGTCCTTAAAAAAAAATATTCTCTAAAAAATCCACACCTCTGTTGTTCCTTGAAAAACTATTCTTTAAAAAATCCACTCCTCTCATAATCCTTGTAAAAATATTCCTTAAAAAATGCACGGCTCTGTCGGTCCTTGTAAAAATATTCTTTAAAAAATCCACGCCTTTGATGGTCCTTGAAAAAATATTTTTTAAAAAATCCACGCCTTAGATGGTCCTTGAAAAAATATTTTTAAAAAATCCACGCCTTTGATGGTCCTTGAAAAAATATTTTTTAAAAAATCCACGCCTATGATGGTCCTTGAAAAAATATTTTTTAAAAAATCCACGCCTTTGATGGTCCTTGAAAAAATATTTTTTAAAAAATCCACGCCTTTGATGGTCCTTGAAAAAATATTTTTTAAAAAATCCACGCCTTTGATGGTCCTTGAAAAAATATTTTTTAAAAAATATATTTTTTAAATATCCACGGCTCTAATAGTCCTTGAAAAAATATATTTTTTAAAAATCCACGCCTCTAATAGTCCTTGAAAAAATATATTTTTTAAAAATTCACGCCTCTAATAGTCCTTGAAAAAACATTCTTTTAAAAATCCACGCCTTTTATAGTCCTTGAAAAAATATATTTTTTAAAAATTCACGCCTCTAATAGTCCTTGAAAAAATATTCTTTTAAAAATCCACGCCTCTTATAGTCCTTAAAAAAATATTATTTAACAAATCCACGCCTCTTATAGTCTTTGAAAAAATATCTATTAAAAAAATCCACGCCTCTGTTGGTCCTTGAAAAAATATTCTTTTAAAAATCCACGCCTCTTATAGTCTTTGAAAAAATATCTATTAAAAAAATCCACGCCTCTGTTGGTCCTTGAAAAAATATCTATTAAAAAATCCATGTCTCTTATAGTCCTTGAAAAAATATTCTTTAAAAAATCCACGCCTCTTATAGTCCTTGAAAAAATATTCTTTAAAAAATCCACGCCTTTTGTAGAACTTGAAAAAATATTATTTAACAAATCCACGCCTCTTATAGTCTTTGAAAAAATATCTTTAAAAAAATCCACGCCTCGGTTGGTCCTTGAAAAAATATCTATTAAAAAATCCATGTCTCTTATAGTCCTTGAAAAAATATTCTTTAAAAAATCCATGTCTCTTATAGTCCTTGAAAAAATATTCTTTAAAAAATCCACGCCTCTTTTAGTCCTTGAAAAAATATTCTTTAAAAAATCCACGCCTCCGTTGGGTTTTGAAAAAATATTTTTTAGAAAATACACGCCTCTGTTGGTCCTTGAAAAAATATTCTTTAAAAAATCCATGCCTCTGTTGGTTTTTGAAAAAATATTTCTTTATTTATTCTAGTTTGATGATCTGTTGGTTCTTGAAAAAATCCACGTTTGCTGATCTTTTTATCCATGAAAAAAAACAGATTTTTTTAAATATGCAGTTAGGGGGAAAGTGTCCTCGATCTTAGCTATTTAATTACATTTTATTACCAAAACCCATTATCCTTTTGAAAATCTTTGCAAAAATTCACCCCACGAAGAATCCTTTGCCCAAGTTCCCTACCCCCTCTCATCTAATCCTTTCTTGCCAAATAATCAAAATATTTATGTTTGGGCCAGAATTGATTGCATGACTTTCAATTATGTATTACGAATTGATTAAATGCATATTTCACAATGAAGGATCCATTATCCTTGAAACGACTCGAACGAATGGAGCAGAGAAACATTATCATAATTGTAATAATAATTGATTGCATAAATTTTGAATTGTTGCAGAAATTTTCGGTTTCGTACAAAATTCATTAATTTTCAAATTTCCTTGAGGAGAAAATGACGGGAGTGAGGGAAGTGAAAAATGTTAACACAAGGCATTGATGAGATAAATAATATGCCAAGTGGCAAATAATGATGAGGGGAAGAGGGGGTGGATAATACTTACATTGCACATCCAATAGCAGAGAGGCATTTTGTCGTATCTTCAACGTTGGATGTTCCATGACACAGAGTATCCTGGCATTGTGATGAGCCCGAAATACGGCAGGCAGACGTGCCTCACTCTTGGCCCCGCTATTGATTTTGTAGGTGTTTTTGTCCTGCAAAAGAAAAAAATTGTAAAAAAGACTCATTAAAATAAAATAATACTAATGTCAAGATCAAAAAATCCTTTAATTGAAAACGATATTGAAACAGGGCAAATGAAAAAAAAATTAAAAAAGAAAATTTAAAGGACGAAAACTCTATGAATAATATTTATTTATTTAATATTAATTATATTTATTTTCATAAGTAATTCTTAAAAAGCTTTTTATTAATTATGAGGAATTATCGATTCTTGACATATTAAAAATCTTAAATATCCTTATTCCTTAAAAAATCCACGCATCTTATAGTCCATAAAAAATATTTTTATAAAATCAACGCTATTGATGGTACTTGAAAAAATATTTTTTCAAAAATTTCTCGCAATTGATGATCTTTGAAAAAATTATTTTTTAACAAATCCACGCCATTGATGGTCCGTGAAAAAATTTTTTTTTAAAAATCCAGGCTTCGAGGTTCCTTAAAGTCTTATTCTTTAAAAAATGCACGCCTTTGTTGGTCCTTAAAAAAATATTCTTTAAGAAATCCATGCTTTTGTTGGCCCTTGAAAAAATATTCTTTAAGAAATCCACACCTCTTATAGTCTTTGAAAAAAATTCTTAAAAATCCTTTTTCCTTTAAAAATCCACGCATCTGATAGTCCATAAAAAATATTCCTTAAAAAGTCAACGCCATTGATGGTCCTTGTAAAAGTATTTTCTTCAAAAAAATCTCGCAACGATGGTCTTTGAAAAACTATTTCTTAAAAAATCCACGCCATTGAAAGTCCTTGAAAAAATAGTTTTTTTAAATCCAGGCTTTGACGGCCCTTGAAGTCTTATTCTTTAAAAAATCCAAGCTTTGACGGTCCTTAAAGTCTTATTCTTTAAAAAATCCTAGCTTTGATGGTCATTGAAATTTTATTCTTAATAAAATCTACCACACTATTGGTCTAAAAAAAATATTCTTTAAAAAATCCACCACGCTATTGGTCATTAAAAAAAATATTCTTAAAAAATCCACGTCTCTTATTTAAAAAAATCCACGCCTCTTTTGGTCCTTGAAAAAAAATATTCTTAAAAAAATCTACGCCTGTAATAGTTCTTGAAAAATATTCTAAAAAAGTACACAACTCCTATAGTCCCTGAGAAAGAAATATTCTTAAAAAATCAATGACTGTAATAGTTCTTGAATAATATTTCTAAAAAAATACACAACTCCTATAGTCCTTGAGAAAAAAAAAAAAAATCTTAAAAAAACCACGTCTCTGTTGGTCCTTGAAAAAAAATATTCTTAAAAAAGTCTACGTGTGTAATAGTTCTTGAAAAGTATTCTTAAAAAAATACCCAATAATAAAATACACAACTCCTATAGTCCTTGAGAGAAAACTCTTTAAAAAATTCACGCCTCAGTTGATCCCTGAAAAAAATATTCTTTAAAAAATCTACGCCTCGGTTGGTCCTTGAAAAAATATTCTTTAAAAAAATCCATGCTTCTTATTGTCTTAAAAATATTCTTTAAATATATACGCCTCCTATAGTCCTTAAAAAAATATTCTTTAAAAATCTACGCCTCTTATGGTTCTTAAAAAAATATTCTTTAAAAATCTACGCCTCTTATGGTTCTTAAAAAAATATTCTTTAAAAATCTACGCCTCTTATAGTCCTTACAAAAATATTCTTTAAAAAATCCAGACTTCAGCTGGTCCTTGAAAAAAAATTCTAAAAAAATCCAAGCATCTTTAAGTCCTCAAAAAAATATTCTTTAAAAAATCCAGGCTTCAGCTGGTCCTTGAAAAAATATTCTTAAAAAAATCCAAGCATCTTTTAGTCCTCAAAAATATTCTTGAAAAACTCAAGCCTCTTATAGTCCTTGAAAAAATATTCTTTAAGAAATCCACGCATCAGTTGATCCTTGAAAAAATATTCTTTATAAAATCCACGCCTCAGTTGATCCTTGAAAAAATATTTTGATGGTTCTTTAAGTTTTTTTTTTTTTTTTTTTAAATACACGCCTGTGTTGTTTCTTCAATAAATCCACACCTTTTATTGTACTTGAAAAAATATTTTTAAAAAAATCTACGCCTCTTATTTTCTTAAAAAATATTTTTAAAAAAATCCAGGCCTCTTATTGTCTTTAAAAATATTTTTAAAAAAATCCACGCCTCTTATTGTCTTTAAAAATATTTTTTAAAAAATCCACGCATCAGTTGATCTTTGAAAAAAATATTCATTTAAAAATCCACGGCGCTTATTGTGCTTGAAAAAATATTTTAAAAAAATTACGCCTCTTATTACCATAAAAAAATATTCTTAAAAAAATCCACGCCTCCAAAATTTAAAAAAAAGAGTATTTTATCCAGAAAAGCCATGTAGAGATGTGGATTTTCTTGAGAATATTTTTCCAAGGATCCAGGAAGATTAATTATTTTTAAGAATATTTTTTCAAGAACCAAAGAAGATATTTTTTTTAAAGAATATTTTTTCAAGGATTTTGAGAGGTGTAGAATTTCTAAAGAATAGCGTGGATTTTTTAAAGAATATTTTTTCAAGGAACATAAAAGTCGCGGCTTTTTAAAAAAAGAGGCATGGATTTTTAAAAAAATATTCTTTCAAGGACTAAAACAGGCGAGGCTTTATAAAAAATGTTTTTTTAAGGACTATACGAGGCGTGAATTTTTTAAAAAATGTATTTACAAGGACAATAGGATTTGTGTATTTTTTGGGAATATTTTCAAGAACAATTAGTTCTTGAAAATATTCCCAAAAAAATACACAACTTTTCAAGAACAATTAGTTCTTGAAAATATTCCCAAAATAATACACAACTCCTATTGTCCTTGTAAAGATATTTTTTAAAAAATTCACGCCTCGTATAGTCCTTAAAAAACATTTTTTATAAACCCTCGCCTGTTTTAGTCCTTGAAAGAATATTTTTTAAAAATCCATGCCTCTTTTTTTTAAATAGCCGCGACTTGTATGTTCCTTGAAAATATATTCTTTAAAAAATCCACGCTATTGATGGTTTTGGAAAAAATATTCTTTAGAAATTCTACACCTCTCATAATCCTTGAAAAAATATTCTTTAAAAAAAATACCTTCTTTGGTCCTTGAAAAAATATTCTTAAAAATAATTAACCTTCCTGGATCCTTGGAAAAATATTCTCAAGAAAATCCAAATCTCTGCATGGCTTTTCTGGATAAAATATTTTTTTTTTAATTTTTGGAAGGACTTGGGATAATTTTTTTGTGAAAAATTCTGAGAAAAATTTCCAGAGAATTTCCAATCTTTTTTTTTTCTCAACAACTAACTAAGATAGTATAGCATATTCATCTTTTATGTAGCCAAAGTGCAGTTTTGTAGAAATGTGTTTCTCTTTATGTGTATGGGTCTGTGTAACTGCAGTATGTGTTTGTGTGTGTGTTTTATTATATGAATAGTTTACATGTCCAAAATAGCCATGATTACGAACGTTTATTTTATATGTTTTAAGCCATTATAATGCATGATGCACACAAAATGCTCAATTCGTGTCTTGTCTAAATTTTCTCGATTTTTTTTTACTCTCCTCTCTCTTGGGTTTTGATGAGTACCACCATTGCCGGGGATGTAGTAGTATGAAGCCATGTTCCTTGACTGTGTGGCCATTAGAGTTTGATGTTGATGTATGTTACCAATAACAATGAAGTGATGGTGGCTGATGGGGTGAGAGTGGATTTTTTTGTGATGGCAATATTTTTAGGGTTCTTGATTTTTTTTTTTGCTATTTCTGGGGTGTTGAGAATATTGGCCACAACTAACGTTTTTTTTTTTCCCAGAACTAGAGAACACAATGGCAAATATCAAAGTGTGTTCGTGTGGGTGTGTGTGTGAATGTGTGATTTTGTTATGGTCGAATGGTTGTGATGGAGAAGAACAAAGAGTGCCAGTGTTAGAATATTTTACTTGGTCAGCAGTATAACCAACATTTTCGTTTTTTTTTTTGGGTTTGATGCCTTGTAACGGTTATTGACTGTGAAAGCTTTGGCATCGGTGTAAATGTGTGTGTGTGCGAGTGTGTTGTCGAGTATGCTCAATGGTATTGTTATAGCCGTGATGTGTACATAATATGTGCGGTGGTTACACCGGATGTAGGTGGCAATGGTGGCGTTGCCTTCGCCGGCGTTAAAGCTAGCATTTCTGATGATAATGTTTTTTGGGCTAACGCTTGCTGGCTGTTTCAATATTTTAGCATTTTTTTTTTTTTTTTTGGATATGATAAAAGAATGAGTTTTCTTTTTTTGTAGCCAGGAAATATGTTACAAATTTGATGCCATTGTTAAAAGTGATTTTTTTACAACAAAAGAATAATTCTCGCACACCACTAACAACAAAAAAAAAAAAAAACAACAACCATGAATATGGTTCAATAAATTCGTGATACAAAGAAGAGCAGGATATGTAAATGTAGGAGGGGAGATAAGCATTCAAACAACCAGCTGAATAACCACAACCCCTCCCTTCCTCTCCACCGTTTGTGGGAAGGATGTAATTGCAAAATATGTTAAATTTCCATGTAAAAGGATATGACAGGATATTTGTTATCTGTTTTACCTTAAAAGCATTATAAAAGGATATTTTAGGATATGATGGTAAATATAAGTTGCGTATATTTTCAACTAAACAAATAGCATCTAGGGAACGTGGCAAATTGTTGGGGGGAAATGGTGAAAAATGGGAACTGGAGATATATCATAAAGGGCATTTGGAAGGAAAATGGAGATTCAAAAATGTTTTGTGAGATTTCAAAGATCCATACAATTTATCTTAAAACATTGACGAGTGTGTTACGGATATAAAATTGTCCTATGAGTTCGTTTCCAACAGAGTGAAAAAGACTTATTTTTTTTCCTTTATTTTAGTTCCTCATATACGAGGAACGTATGGAAGGTGGGCCGGAAGAGGGTCTAGCCCCCCCTCTCCAAAGTGGTCACATTTCGTTTTATACCCTCCAACATATGGAAGAAACTTGAAAAATTGAAAAAAAAAAATCCGTCGGAAAATACCGCTCAAATGAAAACCCTTATATGCGAAGACGTGGTGTATCTGTTCCGAACTTTATATATGATATTTGAAACAATTCCGTTGAATAATGTCGCACAAATCATTAAAATACCGAATATTTGGGGGTACCGTTATATGGGCGCTGTACTAAAACGTGAAACTATTTTGATTATTCTCTTCTAGGGGGTAAAGTACTCTCAAGGAACTCCTTTTGTGGATTTTAAGACAATTCCATTGAAAATTTTTTGCTCAAATCATCAAAATACCGAATATCGGGGAGTACCGTTATGTATTAGCTATACGATATCGTAGACCTATATAGACAATTCTCTTCTAAGGGATAAAGTACTCACAAAGAACTCCTTGTGTATAATTTGAGACAATTCCGTAGAAAAATGCAGCTAAAATCATCAAAATGTCGAATATCAGAGGTAGGGGGGGGGGGGGGGTACCGTTATATGTGGGACATACAGACGGACGGACGAAAATCGTCTTAGAATATATATACTTTGTGGGGTCTAAAATTATTATTTTGATGAGTTACAAACGGAATGACGAACTTAATATACCCTCCATACTATGTATGGTGGAGGGTATAAAAATAAATAAAATAATAAAAAAATAAATTTACGGAATTTCCGACTCCAAAATTTAAAAAATAAACCCTTCAAAAATAATTTAAAAAATTCAAACTCTTTCTTACCTTTTCATTTTTGATTTCCTCCAGTTCCAGCACCTCAGCCGACACCTTTTGGGCATGACGATCCACGCCAGGACTTAGCAGGACTTCCCATGTTAGAGTGGGCCGGGGATTGCCACCCTCACTGACACAGGCCAAATTTAGTTCAGAGTTTTCTTTGACCGGAACAAAAATATTACCCGCATCCAACCGGCGACCATCGATCAGTAGATAGGGAGGTTTGGGACGATCTGGAAAAATATAGAAAGCAATATATTAGGAAATTGGAAATCAAGAGGAACAATTGAAAAAATCCTTAATTTTTTGTAAAATATCCTTCAAACAAAGTACTTAGAATTTTATCCCCGGCGGACCATGAAAATTGCAGACCAAAAGTTCAGAAAATATAAAAAAAAAAAAAAATCAGGAAAAGCATTGCGATAATTTTTTAATAATATTCTATTGCAAATCCCAGATTATCGCATCAATAGTCCTTGAAAATCGTCCTCGAAAACACGTAGTTCCTTATAAAAATCTTCTAAAAATATCCCTTTCGAATTCTCGATTATAGCTGTGATTTTCCTTTGCAAATGTTTCGTTAACAATCGACGATTATAAATTTGATAGTCCTTGGAATATGTCCTTTAAAAATCCTTGAAATCTCAAAATAATGTAAGTGTGGCGATACTTGATCCAAAAAAAAAATTATTGGTCTTTAAAAAATGTTTTTTAATACTTCAGGTTTCGTCCTTGAAAAAAATCCTTTAAAAACCGTTAAAATCTTTAAATAACGCAGTCCTTAAAAAATGTCCATTAAAACTTCCGGTTGTATTCCTTGAAAAATATCCTTTGGAGATTCACGTTGCATTCCTTGAAAAATATCCCTTGGAAATTCACGTTGTATTCCTTGAAAAATATCCTTTGGAAATCCACGTTGTATTCCTTGAAAAATATCCTTCGGAATCCTCATTTTAGTCCTTGAATAATAACCTTTAGCAATCCAAGTCCTTGAAAAATATACTTTAAATATCCTCATTTTAGTCCTTGAAAAATATCCTTTAAAAATCCACGTTTTAGTCTATGAAAAATATCATTTAAAAGACCATGTTTTAGTCTTTGAAAAATATCCTGTAAAAATCCACGTTTTAGTCCTTGAAAAATATCCTTTAAATTCCACAATAAGTCCTTGAAAAAAAAGCCTTTAAAAATCCACGACTTAGTCCTGAAAAAAAATACGTTTTATTCCTTGAAAATGATTCCTTTTTAAATCTATGTTGTAGTCCACGAAAAATTTTCTTTTAAAAATCGACCTTTAAGTCCCTTAAAATGTCCTTCAGTAAAACCGCCTTCTTGATCCTTGATCAAAAAATCCAGGTTTTGGTCCTTAAATATTACCTTTAAAATATCCACGTTTGGTCCTTAATAATATCATTTGAAATATCAATCTTTTGGCTATTAAAAATGTCCTTTAATAATTCCAACTAGAAATCTCGTTAAAAAAAATTAAAATTGTGGTCCTTGAAATTTCGTTCAAAAATCCACATTTTGGTCCTTAAAAATATATTTAAAAAAATTCACATAATAAGTCCAAGTTTTGGTCCTTTAAACCGCTTTCCGCTTGGTCCTTGAAATATCGTGTAAAATCTTCGTTTTATCCTTAAATATATAATTTTCAAATTTCCATATTTGGTCCTTAAACATATCTTTAAAAACATATTCTTGGAAAAATCCAATATTTTTCCGAGATATCTATCATTTAGAAGTCCCTGATTCTTGAAAGCATCCTTTTTGAAAATTCACGTTTGATGTTTGAAATATTGGCGAAAAATATCCTTGTTATTGTATTAGTCCTTTAAAAATATTCTCGGTAAAATAAACGTTTTGTTAATTTTTTTTAGTTCACATTTTGATCCGTAAACATTTCTATTAAACATCCAGATGGTATTACAAATATCCTTTAAAATATAAATTTGCTTACTGAAAAATGTCCTTTAAAAAATTAAAGATTTGACCCTTAAAATATCCTACAAAGAAATCTAGTTTTAATCTTTGAAATATGTTTTACAGTTCCATATTTGGTCTTTTGATCCTTACAGAAAATGATTTACGCCTCCAGGTTGAGTGGTCCATCATTCTTTTATGGTATTCTTTAAAAATCCGCCTTGGTCTTTTGGTCCTTTCGAAACTATCCCCTAGATATTTGACAGTCTTTCAGTCCTTCAATTTTCAAAACACCAACATCATCCTAGATCTTCGTCCTTGAACAAATTCTTTAAATATCTACATTTCTGGTCCTTTAACGATAGCCAATAAATCGACCATATTTGGTCCATGACCATGTTTCGGGTTATTTTGATCTTTGAAAATATATCCTTCAAAAAATCCAAGATTTGGGTCCTTCCGGTCCCCAAATATTATTCCTTTGATTTTTCTGCGAACAATTCTTAAACTTGGTGGTTCGACATCTATATTCTAAAAAAAATCATTTTAAGGACATTTCTCTTCCTACACCTCTACAACCGCCATATTGTCCTTCAGGTAATTAAATAACTCTCGAAAATAATTTTACCCCCACCCCACCCCCAATTTGCTTTAAACTTTTATAGTTTTATGACTTTTAATGTCCATGCTCTGCCTCCTCTCTGACGCTTTTGACGCTAAGCTCATCATCAATTTTCAACGTTAAGGCTATTTTAATACTCTCTGCAGAGAAGCAGATGAAGCAGCCAGTCGACTTAATAAAAATACCAACTAATAACCTTGCTTGATTACATGAACTTGAGGAAACTTACAGGAGCTGAATGATGGTGAGAGAGGGAGGGAGGTTGGTTTGGTTTTGGAAACTTGAAAAATCTCTTTTCTTACACTTGACATTGTGCTGTAATTTTTCATTCTTGAGTTTTTCACATTTAACATTGGTGACCCTATTTGAAATAACAATTTTTATGGCATACTTTTAGGAACGACATCAAAAGTTTAAGTACTCTAAACTTTAAGTAGACTTTGAGGACTTAATTAATTACCCAAAGAAACTCTTGACAGAAAATTATAAAAAAACATTTTGTTATAGAGAACATGTGTTGTGGTTGTTGTTATTTTTTTATCGTTGTCGTTGCTTTTGTTATTATTATTGCTACTTACCTAAAACCACCAATTTAACCGGTCTGGCATTCTCCGTATAGTGTCTGGTATTTTCAGCTTCACACTGCCACTTGCCATCATCCTCCAGCATGACATTGGTAATGGTTAGGGCACCATTTGCCTCCTTAATGAAACGATAATCTGTCACCCGGGTAGTGCGGTCCATCGCATGCACAACCTGTGTATGTATGTGTGTGTGGGAGTGAGTGAGAATATGGCAGCAGCAGCAGCAGCAGCAGCAGCAGAGTTAATGAACAAGACACAAATTAAAACATTATTTTTAAATAGTCGACAATTTTGTAAGTAATTATGTTAAACAATATTAAGCATTTGTGGCAGGCAGGAAGGTTGGCGACAGCTGTTCCAGGTGGAAATAAATGTTCATTAATGGGGGAGGCGGTGGTGGGATATGGAATTTAAAAGTTAAATTAGAGAAGCAAAATTTAACATAAGAGGGAGTTTATTAGGAGTCAGAAAATACATTTTTCAATAATATATCCTGGCTTAAGATATTATTTAAGGGTATTTTTAGATATATCCCAGAATATTTCTTACAAAAATTGTAAACTCCCCCTAGTCTTAGGATATTTTTATGTATAATTTCAAGGCCCTCCTGGGTTTAGGCTATTCCTATACAAATTTTTTAACCTATCCTTGGCTGGACCCTGAATCTTGTATTTATTACGACACTTTTGACCTTGAGATTTTTAGCGGATTTTTTACGTTTCTTAAGAAATTACCTATAATTCCCGACTACCTATAAAATCCCGAAAATATATAAAATATCCTCTTAAAAATTAACAAGTCCACGTTTCTTTACCCCTTAAAAATCTTTGATAAATATTTAAAAACTTAAATTTTATTTTTAAAAAAATATTTTAAAAAAATATTTTTCGAAGAACTATCTATAAACGTCGATTTTTTAAAAAATATTTTTCAAAGAACTATCCATAAACGTGGATTTTTTAAAAATATTTTTCAAAGGACTGTCTATAAATGAGGATTTTTTAAAATTATTTTTCAAAGGACTATCTAAAAACGTGGATTTTTCAAAAATTTTAAAAGGACTATCTATAGACGTGGATTTTTTTAAATTATTTTTCAAAGGTCTATCTATAAACGTGGATTTTTTAAAATTATTTTTCAAAGGACTATCTATAAATGTGGATTTTTTTAAAAATATTTTTCAAAGGACTATCTTTAAATGTGGATTTTTTAAAAATATTTTTCAAAGGACTATCTATAAACGTGGATTTTTTTAAAATATTTTTCAAAGGATTATCCATAGACGTGGATTTTTAAAAATATTTTTCAAAAAACTATCCATAAACGACGTGGATTTTTAAAAATATTTTTCAAAGCACTATTTATAAACGTGGATTTTTTAAAAATATTTTTTGAAGATTTTTTATAAACGTGGATTTTTTTAAAAAATATTTTTTTGACGACTCTCTATAAACGTGGATTTTTAAAAAATATTTTTTTGACGACTCTCTATAAACGTGGATTTTTAAAAACAATATTTTTTGAAGACTCTTTATAAACGTGGATTTTTTAAAAATATTTTCTGAAGGCTTCTTATAAACGCGGATTTTTTAAATATATTTTTTGAAGACTCTTTATAAACGTGGATTTTTTAAAAATATTTTCTGAAGACTTCTTATAAACGTGGATTTTTTAAAAATATTTTTCAAAGGATTTCTTGCCGAATAATTTTTCCCTAACCTTCTTTACATATTTCTCTTTTATTTTACATGTTTCTCTTGGATTTTATTCGCTGCCCTTCCACTACTGGAATTTTATCTATATCTCTCTCTTCCAAGGATATAAATGCATTTTTCCGAGTATCCTGAAAATGGCCAATAACTTTCGCATAAAATCCTTGCGAACTTAAATATTATTTGTTTTTTATGGTAGCTATAAAAGCAGGCCTTATCTTGGTCTCTAAAAATATTCTTCCAAATTTTAAAAATACTCATAAAAATTATACACCTCCAGAATATAATTCCAATAAATTTAGATCCATTAAATAGAGCCTCGGAAACAGCCTCACCAAAACTTCCTCGATATAGGAGACCCTCAAAAATATTAAAAAATATCCAAAATCAGAAATTTAAACAATTAAATTGAGAATAGATATTTGTCCTACAATTGCTCCCATCTCTCCCTTTGAAATTTCTCCTCAAAAATTTTCTTAGAATTTCCCACAACAATTTCATAAATCTTCCCATTTTCCTTAAGTGTATTATCATTCAATTTATTTTTATTACTGCTGCTGTTCTACTAATGTTCTCAAACACCTTTTAAGCAACATTCACATAACCGTACATAACTCTAACAAGCCTAAAGGCTTACAAAAATTTGCCATACATATTTATTGATATCTACATACATATGAAAATAACATTTTCTATGTCAATTTTCCATTGTTTTCCTTGTTAAATAATATTTACCTTTAATATTTTCCTCCTCCCATCTACCCTTTGCAAGGTAGATAATTCGTTTATTGCATTGTTCAATAACATGGCACATAACGTAACATAAATATTTATTTAACAATTTAACTTTAAGCTACTTAAAAATGACAAGTTGGGAGAATTTTCCAACAACAACAACAACACGATTGTCAATGTCGATGAAAATTCAACAACAAATTCAAATATGTGGATATGTGTGTGTGTGTGGGCTTGTGAAAAATTGTATCATTTGTATTGATGCAATTCGACAAGAGGATTCCAAGTAAATCTCTTATTATTAACCAGTTAGGAAAATTTTATAACAAAAGTTTTTATGTAACAAAATAATAACGAGTTTAAATTCGGGGGAGATATATTTCGGAAGGGTTATTCATGCAATAAAATATTGTTAAAAAATTTTTAGGGGACCATCGATGAGCGCGGATTTTTAAAAATATTTTTCAAAGGAATATCTATGAACGCAGATTTTTTAAAAAATATTTTTTTGAGGACTACCGATAAACGTGGATTTTTTAAAAATATTTCTTCAAGGACTACCGATAAACGTGGATTTTTTAAAAATATTTTTTTGAGGACTACCGATAAACATGGATTTTTTCAAAATATTTCTTCGAGGACTACCCATAGGATTTTTTAAAAATATTTTTTCGAGGACTACCGATAGGATTTTTTAAAAATATTTTTTCGAGGACTACCGATAAACGTGGATTTTTTAAAAATATATATTTTCAGAGACTCTCTATAAACGTGGATTTTTTAAAATTTTTTTTGGAGGACTACCTATAGACCTAGATTTTTTAAGAATATTTTTCAAAGGACTATCTTTAAACGTGGATTTTTTAAAAATATTTTTCAAAAGGCTACCCATAAAAGTGGATTTTTTAAAAATATTTTTTCGAGGACTACCGATAATCGTGGATTTTTTAAAAATATTTTTTCAAAGACTACCGATAAACGTGGATTTTTTAAAAATATTTTTTCGAGGACTACCCATAGGATTTTTTAAAAATATTTTTTCGAGAACTACCGATAAACGTGGATTTTTTAAAAATATTTTTTCGAGGACTACCGATAAACGTCGATTTTTTAAAAATATTTTTTGGAGGACTTTCTATTAACGTCGATTTTTTAAAAATATTTTTTGGAGGACTTTCTATTAACGTAGATTTAAGAAAAAAATTGGAGGACTACCTATAAACTTGGATTTGCTAAACAATATTTTTCAAAGGACTATCTTTACACGTGGATATTTTAAAAATAGTTTTCAAAGGACTATCTATAAACGTGGATTTTTAAAAAATATATTTTTGGAGGACTTTCTAAAGACGTGGATTTTTTACAAATATTTTTTAAGGACTTTCTAATTTTTTTATTAATGAATGGCTCACCGATGACCTGGGCCAGGGATCTGAGCTGTGTCTAGCTTATATTTAAATTATATGCCTTTTGTTGTTGCAACAATTGTAACAAACAAAAATGCAATATAATTTACATAAATACTCATACAGTCACACTCACACACACAGATGCATGGCGTGTAATCATTATCATATAAATATATGGGTGTGTGAGCGAAAGAGTGATTTTCTGCTTATGTTATTTTGTTTACACCATAAATAATATGATGTTATAGAGAGGTATTAAAAATATAACAATAATAACAACAACAACAGCACACCAAAAAAGGCCAGGAAACTGAAACAGTTAAAGGCAACATTGGTTGGTGTCATTTGATGTTGCCAAAAGTTGTAGCTCTCTGTGTGTGTATCCTGGTGTTTCAGTTGTTTATCCCTGTTGTTGATGTTGTTGCTGTTATTGTTGCCTCTGGTCAAATGTTTTGTTGTCCAATTGCCATAATTTCTGAAGCGTATTATTGCGGTTATTACTTACTATTTATGGTATTTTAATACTGCCATTTAACATATATTTATATATGCAGGCGCATATACGAGTATGGTCAGAATTACAATGGCCAAACTAGGCAAACGCCACACCTGATGTCTGGCAGCTGTTTGGGCTGCCAAATGAAATGCCTTCTCCACCAAACTCCCCTGACAAAAGCCTTTTGTTATGGGCATTATTATTGTTATTATTTTTATGATAATAACATTAATACCCGGTGGTCCTTAATACCTGACCTGGTCAACTGCTTTTGTGGGTGTTTGTTCGTCGTCGTTTGACCATAATTTATTTCAAGGTAAATCGGGTGTTTAAATTTTCAATTCTATTTTAAATACTGGTGCATTTGGTTTCTTTGGTGAAATTTATTTTCACCAACAGCTTTAGAGAGCTTAATCTTATTGTTGCTCGTTTTTTAGGGCATGACATTAAACTGATTTTCGCTTAGCCCAGGTACCCTTCAATCCCCCCTTCACCCTTAGTGTGCTCGACCATGTCATATAAAGGCAAGGTTGCACCGAGACTATCTTTGTGACACTCATGCAACTCAGAGAAGTGTGTGTATGTGTGGGTGGCAATTGTTTTCTTTGCCTGACTCAGCAAATGCTTGGAAAATAGTAAAATTACCAATGCAGAGAGGGGTGTCGGGCATAAGAAAACTCATAACAAGATAAGTTTGCAGCAGCTCCAATGCAAACCATCTCTTCTGGTCCATGCATTCATTCATTCCCTCGTTCATTTGGTAATAGTTCACACATGCTTTTATGGCTGTCATAAAAAAATAACATTTAAGTTCAGATGG